GTTAAAGGTGTGATTCCACCTTCTCCATATTTGCATTCATTAATTTTGCAACCAGCTGACATCCACTGATGAAAAACCAATTTAATTAGAGATAGCCTAGGAAAGTGTCACTGCACTGTAGGTATCAACAGTTCAAAATGCACCTCAGCAGGTGCATTGTGTGCCAGTGCACTGCATGATGCTTTAGGGAAAGGCTCATTGGTGGAGCATCGTCCCAGGTTCCATCCCTGGCATCTCCAGGTAGGACTAAGAAAGACCTCTACTTTGACACCCAGGAGAACTGCCAGTCAGTGTAGACAATACAGAGCTACTTTATATAGTCCAATGGCCGATATATTTCCCACTTGGTAGAAAGCAACTTCCTAATGTTTCTTTATTTAGGAATATTCTACATTTAGCATTCAGGCACATGCATTTAGGTGCTTCAGTGATCCATTGTGTTCAGATGTGTGTGCCCTAGAGGCAAAATGAATTACTCACTTATTTGAGACATTATTTGAGACATTCTGGGGATCCTACTACAAGCAGGGACCTTGTATAGTGATCTGGAATGGCAGGCTGTGAACCGCGTTAGATGTTTGCACATTGCAGACAAGATCCATCCACTCCCTGTTCACAAGATTTCAGATCCCAGGGAGATAGCAGGACCTGCCATCCCATTGATCGCCAGGTTTGATTCAGATGATCTGATTGGCTCCCTCACTGCTCCATGTGAGTCCCTCCTGAAGTTGCGTGCTTGGTGGAAGAGAATGACCATCTCAGATAGAAGGAATGTACTGTTCTTGCATTCCTCTGTTGGGCATCTGGTTGGCTACTGGGAGAACAGGGTGCTGGATTAGACAGGCAATTGAACCGATCCAGCAGGGCTCTTGTTATGCTCTTACGTTTTACACTGGAATATTTAAGACTGGAGCAAAGAACACACAACCCTATCTTTTTTTTTTAAAAAAAAGATAAAATTAAGAATAATATTTCATTTCCAGGGACTATTCAGCTTGGCTCCGGCAGACAGATTACAGACCTCCAGCCTTTGCAATCCAACCGCAGAGTCTGACAAAGCCCCCATGATCACAATAAAGTGAATTATAGCTTTAATGCAAGCAGTATTATTCACATAACCCCTAAAGCCTGTTTCTGCCAAGGTGGTTTTGAATAATGCTTTTGGACTTCTCCATCCTGCTGTTTGTACCTTGCCCCTGTCCCTGTCTGTGGAGTCGAAGGGCTTTGCTTCTCTCTCTCTCCCTTCTGCTTTTCCTTCTCCTAAAGAGAATATAATCGCTCGATTCTGCCTAAAATTAGAGGCTGCTGTAAAGCTTGTGTGGCAGATGATACTGTTTGTGAATAGTGATCTTTGCAAAGCAATTGCCTGGTCTGTTCCTCCTTAATGACATCCTTGAGAAAGGGGAATGAAAGGCGGGCTGGGGGAATCTGTGCTAAATCAGTGAATATTGATCCTAGTTATGGCTCTTTTGCTTGTTGTTTGTCATTGTTATTATTGTGGGTTGTTGATAATTAGAGGGAATGACAGGGCTCCACTAATCCAGCCAAATTGCCTGGAGATTAGAGATTTACACAAAGCCCCCATCAGTGGCTGTTGGAGCAGCTGGTTACGAAAGCTCCAGGCCTGAGTAAATGGCAGCCACTCCATCCTTCCTGGCAAAGTATGGTGTGTTTGCAGAAGCCTAATGCCAGGTGCTACTGTGAACCATCAGGACTGGGTTCACAAGGGAGGGGGGGATAACAAATTGATTAATATGGATTGAGGCCCATGTCAAAAACATCTGAGAGAAGGTACAGTGAGGGCTAGCTCCATGTGAAGCCCCCTTCCCAACATCATTCACCATCACTGACCCCTGAAGGATTGTCAGCTGCAGATAGAAACACTACAAACTACAGAGGGTGATAGCAATCTGCCTGCCATTTTACATTTCCCACAATGCATTTTGGGGGAAAGGCCATAGCTCAGCGCTGGAACACCCATCTTGCATGTAAAAGGTCCCAGGTTCAATTCCTGGCATCTTCGGGTAGCTCTGGGACCATCTCCCTGCCTGAAAACCTGGAGAGCCATGTTGGTCAGTGTAGAAAATACTGAACTTGTTGAGCTCAGTGTAAGACAGCTTCCTCTCTGTTTGTATGTTGGTGTTGTGTCCCTCCAGATCACTGCCAAAAATTCACAGTGGCAGCTTGTCTTCTGAGGCTCAGTCACCACTGTCAGTGGCTCTGCCAGGGCCAGAGAAATGGGTGAGGGACAATATCCATGTAATTGGCCTTGCCCAGAGCACATGGACTTTCAAAGCTGTCCAAGGGTGCTGGGTTTTGGTGGTGGCCCTGTTTCTGGGGGCCTTTGGGCAAGAGACACACTGCAGGAACCCTTCTAGACCTCACCCAGCTTTTCCTTGTTGCTGGTACTGCTGCCTGTTCCATTGACTTCTTCCTTTAGGTCAGGGTTGTGGAGACTTTTTCAGCCTGAGGGCTGCATTCTCTCTTAGACATCCTTCCGTGGGGCGTGCCAGGGCCTGAAGGAAACTGGAATCCTGAAACATCTGGATGGCAGCACAGGTCCCTTAATCCCAGTCTAGATCACACTAGGAAGCTTCCTCCTGCCAAATCAGAAAATGGGTCCATCTAGCTCAGGATTGTCTACACTGACTGGCAGGGGACACTCCCAGCCTTATCTAGAGATGCCAGGAATTGAACATTCAATATAGATGCTCTTTCACAGAGCTATGCAGCTCACTGTCTGACCTAATTGGTGTAGCAGGACAAAACTGAGCGCTGGGATCCAACTGGGGGTTGCATGCATCAGACCCTTCCTGACACTGCTCAGATATGCAGCCTCCTCCTTCTCATCTCTCCTCATCCTCTCCTGTCTTGCCTTTAGTTAGCGGGTTGACTGCCTTGGCTCAGCAAAAGGCAATTAAGCCGTCCCCATAAAATAAACATGAGCGAGAGTCGCCTGCCGATTCACCAGGCATGTATTTGCCTGAGTGCTAATTTGTGGAGGATTGAGGGCTCAGTCTGCAGTGATCAACCCAGAGTGCTCTGGATTATGCAAACACAGTCCGGTAATGGTGTGATTTCTCCCTCCTCTGGCTGCTGAAATTTATGTTCGCAACCTAAGTTGACAGGGAAGTTTCATTCCTTGGATCAAGATGACTTTCCCACAGCCTGTGTGATGTAATGGGTAGAGCAGTGCTAGCCAATGTTGGACTAAAACTCCAATCATCCCTGGCCACTGGGTGTGATAGCTGGGGTTGATGGGGCTTGTAGTCCTACAATGTATGGAGGACACCGTGTTGGCTATCCTGGGTTAGTGTCTGACTAGGAGCGGCAGGACTTGGGTTCAAATGCCTGCTCAACTCCACAGCTCACTGGGTGACTTTGAGGTGTCCACCTCTCAGTCTAACCTACTTGGCAAGGTTATTGAGTCAATAAATTCCAGGGGTAAAGGGAGAACCTGTCTGTTGCACTTGGAAGATGGTGTGTGTGTTTTGGAAACATGGTTGAATGCTTATGGATAGTAGAATCTCAAGTGTCTCTGTAGAGTCCTCTCTCCTGCTCATATGAGGTTTCAGAGTCATGTTGCTTCTGGGTCCTATCTTTGCCACAGGATGTTGCAACAACAACAACAAAAACAACAACAACAACAATTTATTTATACCCCGCCCACTCTGGGTGGCTTCCAATGGGATATTAAAATACAATGACCTATTAAACATTACAAGCTTCCCTAAACAGGGCTGCCTTCAGATGTCTTCTAAAAATCTGGTAGTTGTTTTTATCTTTGACATCTGGTGGGAGGGTGTTCCACAGGGCGGGTGCCACTACCGAGAAGGCCCTCTGCCTGGTTCCCTGTAACTTGGCTTCTCTCAGTGAGGGAACCACCAGAAGGCCCTTGGCGCTGGACCTCAGTGTCCAGGCAGAATGATGGGGGTGGAGACGCTCCTTCAGGTATACTGGACCAAGGCTGTTTAGGGCTTTAAAGGTCAGCACCAATGCTTTGAATTGTGCTTGGAAACTTACCGGGAGCCAGTGTAGGTGTTATATGGTCTCAGTGGCCGCTCCCAGTTACCAGTCTAGCTGCCGCATTCTGGATTAGTTGTAGTTTCTGGGTCACCTTCAAAGGTAGCCCCACATAGAGCGCATTGCAGTATTCCAAGCGAGAGATAACTAGAGCATGTACCACTCTGGCGAGACAGTCTGCTGGCAGGTAGGTTCTCAGCCTGCGTACCAGATGGAGGTGATAAACAGCTGCCCTGGACATAGAATTGACCTGCACCTCCATGGACAGCTGCAAGTCCAAACTGACTCCCATTTCAAAGGATGTCCAACTCAGCATGCAAGACAAGTTGTTGGAGGATACGCCTATCATTTCCCAGTAGCCACAATGGTTATGTTCTACCTTCACTGTCAAAGGCAGTATGCCCTTGAACACTAGTTGACCACTGTGAGAACAGGATGCTGGACTAGATGAGTCTTTGACCTGTTCCAGCAGGGCTCTTCTTATGTCCTTAAGCACACACTTGTGCATGTGGAATCTTGCCATCATTCCATGACTCCCTTCAGTGTTCTGACTGCTGGATTCCAATGCTGGGGAAGATCCATGGTATATTCCTCCCAGGAACATACAGTCTCAGCAAACAGATGGTGTGCGTGTATGCTTGGGTGGACTGGGGGCTGTGTATTTTAAATACTGCCTCATTAATATATAATGACCAACATATGGAAAGCTTAACAGAGCGCTGGGATGGAACTCGGAATGGAACATTGCCCATTTGGGGGTGCAGTTGTGCCCCATGATATTCCTTGATGTAGTTGTTAGGCTGTGAAAACAGTACATCTGCGGGGAGCAACTTTAAGCATTGCCAGTTTGGGGAAATGTTTGTGTTCATGATATTCCCTTGTTGTAGTTAAGGAGCTGTAAGGAAAGCTGTCTTAACAAGACTGTATTTTGACACCCACCCAACCACTTTTCTTCCCCAAACCCTTCCTTGTTCCAGTCCCCGGAGGCATTGCTTCGGAGTCCCTCACATTCACCCCCTTGGAAGACATGATTTTTCTGAAATGGGAGGAACCAGTGGAGCCCAATGGCCTCATCACGCAGTACGAGGTATGTTGTAAAGCCCTTTTGGGGATTCCTTGACTTTTTACCAGCATTAAAGAGATCTTATTTATTTTATGTATTTGCTATTACATTCTGCTTTATCTTTCTGAACAAACACAAAAGTGGCTGCTATACAAAGCACGGAAACAGGAACACGTCAAATGCAAGAAACAGTACAGTTTTAAAAAAATACACAAAAAAACCAAGGCTGAGCTGGCAACAGATCCACCGAATCCACAGCAGCTGGAGATAAGCACCAGCTAAAAAAAAAATGGAAACAGATATGCTTGCTGAAGCAAAATTCAACAGCAAAAAAGAATTTCAGTAGAATTTGAATGCTTATTGCAGAGTCAACTCTTTATTTGGTGTCTGAAGGTGCACAGAATCATGGATAGGTGGTCCCTCTGGAGTGGGGGTTAGTCTGTGCACTGAGAAATTCCTCCACCTGATAGATATCCTCCAATCTTGAGCCAGAGTGAGCTCCCAAACAGGACCTCAGCTGTCAATCAGAATGCAAGAAGTGCTATGCATGGTGGAGTGCGATCTTTCATATATCTCATGGCCCTTTGGGTATCTAGGTCCCCAAGCATTTATGGCTTTACAGGAAGGAAGCAGCTCCTTGATTTGAGCATAGAAACAATATGCAGCCTGTGGACATCAGACAACACTGGAGTAATATGATCAGTTGACCATATTACTGGTGGCAACATTTTGTGTCATTTTACAGTTCCAGGCAGTTTTCATGTTGCAGTAGTCAAGCCAAGTAGTCAAGCCAAGTGTATTAACTACATTATATTTATGATCAGGGCACCACTGAGCCTTTTGGGCTTGCTGATCGGAAGGTCTGTGGTTTGAATCCGTGTGATGGGGTGAGCTCCCGTGTGAGATTAGGCAATCCGTCAGGTAACCTAATGCCAAACTGTTTAAGTCTGTCTAGTTTATTTCCAGTAGTTTGAACTGAGTCTGGAAATAGACTGGAAACCAGTGCAGTAGAGTATAGCAAGGTCACATCTACCACATCCATTATTAGATTGTTGCTGTTCTTGTTTTATTATGCATTGTGTGGTTTTTTTACTGTAACTTTATGTTGTGAACCTCCTTGAGATCTATGAATGAAGGGCAGTATATAAATTTAATTACACCGTCATAGCCATCACTCTTATAGCTCCTTAACTGTCATGGGTTCCCAAAATAATTGTGGGAGCTGTAGTTTGTTAAGATTCCTCTAACAGCTCTCGGCACACTTAACAAACTATAGTCCCCAGAATTCCTTGGGGCAGTGGCGTAGCGTGGGGGGTGCCAGGGGTGCCAGCCGCACCGGGCGCAACATTTGGGGGGGCGCGCTCGCTGCCTCCGGACTCGCCGAAGAGCCTCCGGCGCAGGCTGTAGCAGAGCCCCATGTCTCACGGAACCGACGAGCTGTGCACGCGCCCGGGCTGAAGGCGCCCGGCAGGCAGCGGCTCTCAGCGCTCGCCGCGGAGGACGCGCCAGGCAGCCCCTCCTCACAGTCCCGCCTCCGCCGCTGCTGCTGCAGCTGCTGGGCCATGTTACATTTTCCTCGCCTCTCTGCCCCCCTCCTCCTCCGGGCAAGCGGCGTGGTTTGGGCGGCAGCGCCAGCGGCAACTCGCCTCAGATCGGCAGGTTAGGGGTTAGAGGGGGGGGCGCAAATTACTTGCCTTGCCCCGGTTAGGGGGCGCAAATTACTTGCCTTGCCCCGGGTGCTGACAACTCACGCTACGCCGCTGCCTTGGGGGAAGCAGGTTCCCCAACCACCTCAATTGTGTATAGGGTTGGGTGTTGGTGTGGAGCCAGTTGACAATAAGCTTGAACTGCAGAGCATGACATGGATGCCGAGCTCCAGAAATTCTGCGAGCTGTCATAACAGGGCAGACATCTTGGGCAACAGCACACCTGGTGATGGGCCTTTGCATGTCAGGCTAGGCTTAAGCAATGGATAGAGGTTGCTTTTTTCTCAGCAAGGCATTTTCGTCTCCATTCAAAGCGGAGAGAAAAGGGATACATTGTCTTTTGATAGTTTATTGAATGAAGATAGCTGTGTGGTGCGCTTTTTTTTTGGGGGGGGGAATTCTTCCACATCCCCTCCCAAATGCAACCAGGCAAAAAAAACCCCCTCTCTTATCTCTTTTTTTCTGCTTTTCTGCCCTCTCTGGCATCAACAAAAATTATTAGAGCGCAGAAACAGCGGCGTGAAGAAAGCTGATTCTTATCTCTGTGCTGCTCTGACTGCCCTGCCTTGGGCTGAACGCTGCCTCCCGGAGAATTGACACAGGCTCCATTGTAATTCCAGAGACATGTTTTACAGTCTCGGAGATTAAGGACAACTTTATAGTTCCTTCCAAACCCCATTGTTTAGAATGCAGAATTCAAGCAGCTTTTCTTTCCCCTTTCTAAAAGTTTTCAGGCTGGCCCCATTCTCACTGTGGTGATAAATTTTGTTTCTGGACCACTTGAGACTCCAGGCAGGGGATCACAATTGATTGGCTCCTCCTCTATACCAGAAGCATATAGGGTTGGGGTAGGGGAGAGGGCAGGAGAGGAAAAAGGAATCTGACTGAACTGCCCTCCTCTGCTCCTGATCATCCTCACTGGATGTGCTGATTAACACCAGATGAAAAGGTCAGAGTAACATCACAGCCACCCACTTTGGCCTCTGGACACACAAATTTCTGTCTCTGGCCAAATAAACTTTTGCCCCTGTCCTTGCTGGCAGCTGGCATGTGACCCTTGGAAAGTGGCTCATGCAGGAATGTTGCCTAAGGTTCCCTACCACTGGTATATGTGAGTGGTGAGCCCTTGCTTGGAATTTGAAGTGATAGTCCAGACAGTATCTCTCTAACTACCCTACTGAGAACTAGGGCACAATATTTCACTGAATCTCTACAGTTGGTTTGTTATGGCTTTCCAGGTGAGTTCAGCCCCTGCTTGCTGTAACACATCAAAAGAAAGAAAGAAAGAAAGAAAGAAAGAAAGAAAGAAAGGAAGGAAGGAAGGAAGGAAGGAAGGAAGGAAGGAAGGAAGGAAGGAAGGAAGGAAGGAAGGAAGGAAGGCAGTAATAACAATAATAATAATGCCCCTGGAAAACACCAGCAAAAGGGCCTCCTGTTGGTTGGTGCACTGGGCTTCCATTCTACTGTTTTTGGAACATAGGAAACTGCAAATATCCTATTTTATTCCATTGGTTCAGCTTCCTTGATGTTCCAATATATTGCCTACTCTGACTGATAGCAGAAATGGCAAACTAATTAGTATTAAGAATGTGCACCCATCAAAGAATTAAGTTCAGACCTTGATCCAGAGCTTCGGAAAACATACTTCCTCTGTCTGCAGTGCTTCAGAGGCTACACAGTTGAGCTCATGGTCCAAGGCTAAGTCTACTGTGCGGGGAAAAAAAGAAAAAAGAAAGGGGAGGAGGCTTTGTTATCCCCAGATCAACAGCTATAACTTAATCCCTTTTGGCAGAAGTGGATGACATTTGTAGGCATGGTGTCCCCTTCAAAGTGTCTAGTTGGCATCAGTCTGTCTTGAGAGGAAATAGAAGAGTGTGCCATCAGAGGTAAAGCCAAACCATTGGAGAGCTACAGTGCCTGCTGTGGCTGTAGAGACCAGTAAGGGAGAGACATGTTTCATTGAAGCTGGGGTGTCTGTCTCCAGGCACTGTGGTCATCTGAAAGGGATTCCCACAAGGCAGGGTTAATGTTGCCAGCCTTCATGTCATGTTTGCAGACATCTTTAAAATCCAGAGTTGGTCTGCCAACAGGCCTGGTGCCTGAAGCACCAAATTACATGCAAATAGAGCCAATTTGTGTGTGTATTTGATTGTGTGTTTGATTGTTGTAACCCGCCTTGGGACCCTGTGATGAAGGACAGGTAATACTTGCAACAACAACAATTCTTCACCAGATTTGTTTCTATATTCTGATGCTGACATTGTCTTAAAGTATATCCACTTCTCCTAGATCAGCTACCAGAGCATTGAATCCTCTGACCCAGCAGTCAATGTCCCTGGCCCACGACGTACCGTCTCCAAGCTCCGAAATGAAACTTACCATGTTTTCTCCAACCTGCATCCTGGGACTACCTACCTCTTCTCAGTGCGGGCACGGACTGGCAAGGGATTTGGCCAAACGGCTCTGACCGAGATCACCACAACATCTCAGGTTGGTGGCAAGAAGAGCGAAAAGGCTGGGGTTTTTCCCCATCTAAGCTTTGCTCAAAGTTACAACTTGTCTTGGAGTTCTTTGGGTGTCTGCCATTGCAAATTGGATGGGATGTGGTTTGGATGTAGTGAAAACATCTGGCAAGCCAGTGGAAGTCATTCCCCCCCTTTCTTTTCTTTTCTTTTTTTTAGCAAAAATGATGCTTGTGATGAGCTGGCTTTCTGCTGACAAGCACGCCCATATGTGATCATGGCACTGTTGTAAGGCTTCACGCCAGCTGCTAATGCAAAGGGATTGTATTAACAATTCTAGCTTTCTAGTTCACTCTCCCCCCCTTCTCCTCCAGATTTCACCTATCTTTTCTGCACACTTCTACTCCTTTTTGTTTTCTAGTTGACATGGCCTTATTTTAATTGTTCCCTTTGCAGCAATTCCAGCAGGATATTCCCTGCCCTCACTCCCGTCTCACAGCTTTGGCATTGCAGTCCTAAATAGTGATCCCGCTGAAGCTTGTAATTACTTAGTTAGCAACAGAAACTTCCTTTGTGGGCTAAGGCGCCCCGGGAACATTACATTTCCCAAGTTCCCTGGTAACTGGTATGCTGCTGTTGGAGTTACAAGTGGAAATGAGGAAAGTCATATGTAAAGGTCTGGAGTGAGATTGGTGGTGGTGGTTGTTGTTTGCTGCCACTGTCGGATATATATGAAGAGTTTCCTATGGTGAGCATATACAGGAGGAATGCGAAGGCATATGTTCTCTGTCTTGCTCCCAATTATGGGATCAGAAGTCCAGCGTGTTCTAAATTTAGAATTGGGCTCATGGAATAAGAAAAGCAAGCAGTAGTCCTACAGCCTACCACAGATTCAGGCCATCCAAACCTCATATAGTCCTTATTCGAGTCTTGTAAGAAGTGGCCAAGTCTTGCGAAATGTCACAACAGGCTTGGCATTCTCATGGGATTTGAGGAAAGTACTGTGGGAATTGGGTGCTTCGGGGCCACTCTGTCCAACTAGATGCAGCCATGGAGTGTGGCTGGGTGGTGGCCACCTCAGCCTTTTCTCCTTGGTACTGTGGCACCTGGCCAGCTGAGAACCAACAGCAGTGTGGTGGAAGAATGGCATTGTGGTGTAGATATACCATTTGCTCCTCCACTTCAGGCAAAAATTGGTTTTTTAAAACTTCTCTCTTTCTCACTAAATCAGTTGTGCAGAACCAAGCCCTTAGTCATTAATGATGTGATCAGAAGATCCTGTTCACACCAGTCTCCAGGGCAAACAGGTGGAGGTTTGAGCAGTGATGTGGCATGGAAATCTTTCTGAGTAAAACACTTCCAGCGCTTTATTTTTCTGCGGAAAATTCTCCCATTTCTTCAGTTCATTAGGCACCACAATTGCAAGCGAATTGCAAATACAGTTTGAGGCCAGCTTAGCAGTTTCTAAGTTCTGAGCTTTATTTATTAACTGCAAGCGATGCTAAATTAAACATGCTAAATTAGCATTCTCCAGGGCATCAGAAAATTTCTCAATTCAAATTAGGTTACTTTTCATAGGGTTATTTTTTGGAAAAATTTCTGATCCAACATTTTCTGGGGAATGCCCATCGATGGTTCCAAGCAGGCTTTCAAACAAAATCAGTCAGTGCCAAAGTGGGAGTACAAAATTATGCCATGTGGATTTTCTTTGGTTTTCGTCATTTGATTTTGTCCCAAGGAGATGCAGACATTGGTAGAACGTGGACACCCTGGTGGTGTTGCTGACTCAGCTTCTGGCATCAGTGATGGACTGATGCCACAACTGTGCAACCAAAGAGCATTTTCATCACGCTAAAGTTGTGTGAAGTTGCTGTACATATTTTGTTACTTGGAAATGCACACACACAGAGAGTATGGTTCAGTCTTCAAAGCCTCTTTGCTTATTAGCCCATCCATGAAATCTTCAGAGAAGTACAGCTAGTTAGTGGCTGAGGGGCATCAGTCTGATGCCTGGCAGCCTACTGAGAACTGTGCCGAGAGCCAGGATTTTCTCACCATAGCCCGTATCACACATACATTGCTTGGTATGCAAGAAGCAAGAGGCTGTAGACTTGGTATGCGAAAGCATCCTGCAATTCCAGTCCTAGAAATCCTCCGTTTGCAGAGGATTGGGGTCCCTTGTGGTCTCACCCAGCTCCACCATTCTGTGATTACTGGCTCTCCAACAGCCACTGAATGCTAACATTTTGTGCTCCAACACTGACTGCTGCTGAATTTAAACCAGCAAAATGCCTCCAAGTAGTGCTCTCCGAAAGCTTTCCAGACCCAAAGCTGGCTTCTTGTTACAGTGCGGCTTAAAACATTCACAAGTAATGAAAGCAAAGCCAGTTTCCCCTTCCCACTTTGTATGATGGTCACACTTACTCTGACCAGGGACCTGCACCTCCGGATTGCAGTGCAGGGGTGGAGGTGGTGAACTTTTGAACCTTTGGATTATTGTAGTCATGTTTACTGTTTTGTCCCAGTTGCTGCAGCGGGAGCTTCTGGGCTGGGACCCCAGAGTTCCTGCTAGGAACCCTCGACTCCATGTGTGAGTCCCCAGAACTGTAGTATGGAACATCTCTATGGGAAGAAAAATATTATTAGGCTGTAGACTGTCTCTACTCAAACCTATTGATCGTTGAATCCTTCTAGGCTGGGGAGGGTCTGTTTGGGCTGGATCTTTGCCTAGATAAGAGTGGCTTTCCTAGGTGTGGTGTGTTTCAGTACGCTCTTTGGATTGGACTCCTGGCTTTGTTCATTGGCTTGACTCTTGTCTCTCAGCTTTGGTTCTTTGCTAAACTTTTCCTCTGGCACAACGTGGGATTTCTGGTTCCTGGAGCTCCACTATGATAACTGCCTACAACTCAGCCCTGACACAGCTGCATCCCTCACAACTGCTAGGCCCTATAGTGGAGGTCCTCCTGAACAGCTAAGAAGGCAGGGTCCACAGGCCCTTGTGACTCAGCCAGGCCAGGCTCTGGTTGGTGGGTCATAACCTTTAATGGATGCAGTCCATGATGAGGACTGCATTGCCCCAGCAACAAATCATTGTAATTTTGAGAGGTGCTGCTTCATTCTGTGGGTGCTTGAGGCTCTCCTGGGGAAGCGGGCAGTGCTCAGTCAGGAGCTGAGAGCATACAGGACCTTGGACAGCACCATGTGCCTCTGCTAAGAGATGTTGCCTCTGCAGGAAGCCATAGCCACTGAAACCTCATGTAGACTGACAAGGTCTGAAGTGTAATTGGATCTGCCTCCCTGGAGAAGCTGATCTTCTGTGAGGCTGGGTAGACACACTTACAGCTTGTGACCCATCATCTTAGAGGATGGTGGAAGGGTTGTGTCTTTCAGCCAGAAGGGCCCAGAATATAGTACTAGTGGTGCTCTCCCTGAGGAAGTAGCCTCTACCTTATCTTCATCCAAGTCTTCTGTATACGGCAAGGTCATCAGGTCATGGGTAATGCAGTGGGGGAAAATAGAGTGCATCTGCTGCACAAGTGCTTTCTGAAAGGAAGACGTTGGGTTTCTCTGGAGCAATGAATAGCAACTGAGCAATTGTTGCACAAATGCACCAATCGTCTAGAAAGGCTCTTGCTCTTTCCAGATGATGTTTCCTTTGTACCTCACAGCTGTGACATGCGCTAGGACAGGATAGTCTGGTACTCATCAATCGGGATGAGTGGCAACTCAGTGCAGCTGAACCATCAGGGTAACCACACATCCCACTGCTCTGATTCCTTTAAATATGCTTTCCCTTGAAATGGATTCTTCATGCTCCAGAGGCCCCCTCCTCCTTTCCCAGCTACCCTGCAGTCAGAATTCAAATGGGGGAAAAAAACCAGTATGCATTACATTTTACAACCCTGCTGGATAATTTACTTGCATGGCGGTCCAAAAGCTGCCTTGTTTACATTACGGGGGCTTTTGCTCTGGAACACATTTCCTAACTCAGTGGAGCGGCTTTGATGGGATCTATTAGTGGGGGTGGTCTGGGAAAGGAGAAATTGAATGCTGCCGGCCCTGTGTCTTGCTAGAAACAGTCTCAGAGAAATGATATTATCTGCATGAGTGGGAAATGTTGTCTGAGGTGGAATAGATAAGGTGGCATCACTGAGCGAGGAGAGTTTGTGTTTTTCATTAAACAGCACAGGACCTTGAGTGTGCTTTTTCTGCACTGAAGTTGACGATTTAGGGAGATAGATCTTGTGTAGGTCAGATGGATGCTGACGCCACAGACACAATGACTTGATTTTGTTTGCTTTTAATGTGATAAGCATGTGTGTGTCGGTGTGTGCATGCAGATTATAGGAAGCTTAGATGGACAATTGGTCTATATGGTCCAGTGTTGTATACTCTGATTGACAGTGGCTCTCCAGGGACTCTGCTGAATTCTTTCCTCAGTTTGGCTCAGTTACTAAGCCACTTGCATCAAGGCTCCCCACACTTCACAAGGAGACAATTACAAAACCCAGTATTAGGTGAATATGGTTATAATTATGAAGTTCTCAGTTAAGAAAACCACACACATGTGTAAAACAGGTAAACATACAATGGAAAAAATGGTTAATAGTCTGTTTTGATTTTTTTAAGCTCAGATCTGTCCAAGGTATTCTAAATCCTTGTGAATATAGTTTTCAGGTTGATCAGGTTGCCTGGATATTCCTCCCACTTATTGGTGAATGGTAATCCACCCTCCACCCTCCTTGCAAGAGTCTCTGGTGTGCACATTGCTGATTACACAAGTACCAGCCTATACATTAATCATTTTTGTTTGTGAGCTTACCTGATACTATTTCCCCCCAAAGTGAAATGCACTTTTTAGGTAGGTTTGGTTAGTTTCACTTTTTGATAGTATATGGAACAAAGCATTCCCCCACCCCACCTTGGCTGGAGGCCAAGAGAGCATCTTTGGCAAAGCAGATGTTGCTTCTTCGATGCATGTAGTCAAAGAGAGAGATGGCTGCCCTGCCCTGTGCTTTTGTTTTTACCTGCA